CTATGATGCTGCTTGGCCTGCTGTGTTCATCCAGCCCTGCACCTTGTCTCGGATTCTCCAGCATCTGCAGTTCCTACTATCTCCGAGTTCTTCAGGTCAGTTTTATTTTTAGGAACTGGACCATGATTTGAAGTGAAGATGTACTTTGATTACTTGAGGGTTTTTCCTCCCATTGGGTGGGAATGAGCTTTGTTTTTTGGCTCATTGGGAATTCTACTTGCACCATCACCACAATGACTGACTGCAATGGTTCAATCATCACATTTAGTATTAATTAGATGTTGAGTAGTAAATATTTTCTTTTCATTGACCCATTCACTCAAAAAAATCACCCTGATAGAATGGTTTAGAGCAGTTACCAATTGGACAAATATATTAATCCCGTTTTCAATATTCTTTAAAAGTAAAAGATTATTCTTCTCTTAGAATTCCATGTCCCTTTACACATTACTCATCGGTATTGCATACCCTCCTTGCAGTTAATTGAATGCCCGAGTTGAACATGTCAACCATGTTTTTGCTTTGGAACTAATTGTTAGAAGCTTTGAGAAAGTAACTGGAATTGCTTCCCTTATTTTACGAGCTTCAGGGTTGTTGTTCAGTTCCCAGTGGTAACTTATCTAAGATGTGTGATGTAGTTCTGTGGAGTATCTTCCCATGTACTACATGTTGGAACTACTCAAATGTGCTGTGCCAAGGCAGCATCAGAATTAAACATGTATTTTCAAGAGATTAGAATTTTGTCTGTATGAGCTGTAATTTCATGGCAAAGAGACTGATTTTTCCCATTTGTGTTCTTTTCATTAAGAGTAACTACTTCTTGGACAAAAATATAGTCTAATATAAAAGCTTCATTTTGTAAGTAAAATCAGCAGTCCCATTCCTTCTGCATATTTGATTGTTCTTTCAGTTTTATGTGTTCTTATATTTCAGCTGTACATCAAGCTAATCGAACAGAAATTATAACCATCCTAATGACACGGGCTTCCAGTGCAAAACAATCTATTTCTTTTTGCCCGTGTTTGTGGTGATCAATTTTGTTTCAGTATACATTTTATTTTTTTAAAATAAAGCAGAAGATTAAACAGAATAGCTCTTCATGCTCTTTTTCTTAACAGGCAAGAACTTGATGTTTGTTGTTCTGCGTGATGGTACAGGATTTCTTCAATGTGTCTTCAGTGATGAGCTGGTAATGTTTTAATTTCAGTCCTCCATGTGCAATTTATTAAATGCTTAATCTTTGGCATTCTCACAATTTGAGGAACAATAGTGGTTTAGATTTTTGTTGCTGCTGCCTTCTGTGGACTCTGCACTGATAGCAGACTTTTCACAATGCAGAATTTAACGCTGAGGTTGAAATAATTTTTAGCTTCATGTTAGAATCTTAAGCAATTTCTAGCTCTTTCTCTTCATATTCAACTTTTGCAACGCTCTTGATTCTTGTATCAATGTAATATATACCCTAATCTACTATCTTCTCTTTGTCTTCAGTGTCAGTGCTACAACGGACTGGTACTATCAACAGAGAGCTCCATTGCAGTTTATGGAACCTTAAAAATTGTGCCAGAAGGCAAGATGGTAAAGATATTTTTAATAAATAGTACAAGAATTTAGGAATGTGAAAAGGCAAATTATTCTACCTGTTTCAGATGGGGTCTCCTTCCAAAGTGTTTCTGATTTCCTATCATATAAGCACTTGCTTCATTTTAAGTGGCTAGAAGGATGGAAGTTAGTAAATTTAGTGTGTTTTAAATATTAGTAGAAAAAATAGCAAAGGAAAATTCCAAGAAGTGACATAAACAATGTGAATTGTTAGATGTTGCAGTCAATGGCCCTAATAGACAAAGATATCGGAGTAGAATTTGGCTATTTGGTCCATCAAGTCTGCTCTGCCAGTCAGTGAAATCAAATTTGATCTGATCATCCTCATTCCACTTATCTGCTTTTTCACTGTCACTTTTCATTCCCTTACTTATCAAAAATCTTGGCCTTGAATATACTTAAGAACCCAGCTCTGCAGCACCCTGTGGTGAAGAATTCCACAGATTCATTCGCCTGTGAGAATAAATTCCTCTTCATCTCCATCTTAAAAGGTCACCCTCTAACTCTGAGATTATACCCTCTGGTTCTAAACTCCCATAAGAGAAACAATCTCTCTGCATCTACCCTGTGAAGCCCCCTAAGAATCTTAAGAACATAAGAACTAGGAGCAGGAGTAGGCCATCTGGTCCCTCGAGCCTGCTCCGCCATTTAATAAGATCACGGCTGATCTTTTTGAGACTCAGCTCCACTTACCCGCCCACTCACCATAACCCTTAATTCCTTTACTGTTCAAAAATTTATCTAGCCTTGCCTTAAACACATTCAGTGAGGTAGCTTCAACCACTTCACTGGGCAGGGAATTCCACAGATTCACAACCCTTTGGGTGAAGAAGTTCCTCCTGACCTCAGTCCTACATCTGCTTCCCTTTATTTTGAGGCGTTGCCCTCTAGTCCTAGTTTCACCTCCCTGCCTCCACCTTATCTATTCCCTTCATAATCTTATATGTTTCTATAAGATCTCCCCTCATTCTTCTGAATTCCAATGAGTATAATCCCAGTCTACTCAGTCTCTCCTCATAATCCAACCCTCTCAACTCTGGAATCAACCGGGTGAATCTCCTCTGCACCCCCTCCAGTACTAGTATATCTCTTCTCAAGTAAGGAGACCAAAGCTGCACGCAGTACTCCAGGTGTGGCCTCACCAGGACCCTATACAGCTGCAGCATAGCCTCCCTGTTTTTAAACTCCATCCCTCGAGCAATGGCAGACAAAATTCCATTTGCCTTTTTAATCACCTGCTGCACCTGCAATCCCACCTTCAGCGATTCGTGCACAAGGACACCCAAGTCCCTCTGCACAGCAGCGTGCTGCAATTTTTTACCATTTAACACATAGTCCATTTTGCTGTTAATCTTGTATGTTTCAATATCATTCTTCTCACTCCAATGACTAAAGATTCAACTTCTTGTAAAGTCTGCCCATGTCTGGGATGAAAAAAGTGAACCTTTTCTGGATTGCCTCCAGTTTCCTGACATAAGGGAACCTGTACTGTTTACAATATTCTAAGCATGTTTTAATTAATGCCTTTATATAGGCATTCATGCATTTGTGTCTTGTAGAAGGTATAAAATGCAATTGTTACGATCCCAGTTGATGATGCTACAGGATAATTAGAGTGCAACCTTGCTTGATTTTTTTTTATTTTTTGAAAAATTGTTTAGTTCATTGACCTGTTTAGTCACTGAGACATATTCACAGTTTCTTTTAACAACAAAAAGAAACAAAAAGTACAAAAGAAGAAATCAAAAATACCAAGCTGTTTACGGAAAACAGTTAGAAAGATCTCAAAACACACTAAAACAATGTTTCAACCTGTTCCCAACACTATCTATTGCAAAGACTCTAGTCCAGTAAAATTACAACCCCCTCAACTCTTTCCTGTGTAACTGGTACCTTACTGTTTCCTTACTGTGGACTGTGTAGATAATTCACTGAGTTCTTTTCAACTCTGCAACATGAAGTTTTCAAAAGTGAGTGCCTAAACTTTTGCAAGTCTAATAACTTGCTGATTTTTACCAAAGTCTCTTGATTTGGATGTTTTCCAAACTCAAACCTTCTCCTGAGGTGACTTGTTCCCTGAACCCCTCAGAAAGAAACTAAACTCGCTGTTGACCTCTACTGTAGTGTCTTCAGGTTACTCAATCTTATGTACTTCTGAATTTAGAAGTACATGACACCCCAAAGGTTCTGTGGTAACTTTCTTTCGGAGAAATGCTGGATTTACAATTCCAGAAGGACGACTTTTTTTTTGTTGTCTTTTGTTGTTTTAAAAAAAACTCTTCTTGGAAACAACTAACACCCATCTACTTTGTCCTAAAAGATGTTGAACTTGTTTAACTATATGTTACTTGCATGTAGTCTATGTTGCCACTTTGACTGGTTTGCACCTCATTTTCGCACCTGATGTTGCTTATGGCATTTTCTACCACAATTCTCCTTGAACCTGGGCTAGTTGGCTGTTTTGGTGTTAATTCCATTATAGACTGTTGTGAAATACAATTTTATTGCTACAGATGCACCAAATTACATTGCGAATGCCCAGTTCTAAGTACCATGTCAAAAGCAGAAGTTGCTGGAAAATCTTAGCAGACCTGGCATCATCTGTGAAGAAAAAAATCAGGTTTAACATTCCAGGTCCAGTGACCCTTCCTCAGAACTCTGGACCTGAAACGTTAACTCTGATTTTTTTTTTTTTTCTTCACAGATGCTGCCAGACCTGTTGAGCTTTTCCAGCAACTTCAGCTTTTTGTTCCTGATTTACAGCATTCGCAGTTCTTTCGGTTTTTATTGAATACCAGATCTGTTTGGTCCCATTTAGCCGAGTGGTACTGCCACACAATATATTGGAGGGTATCTCCACAAAGACTGTTCAGTAATCATTTGTAACAATACTATCATGGAGTCTGCATCTGCAATGGATAATTTGGTGATGACATGGTTAACTGGATTTTTTTCTTCCTGTGCGTTCTGCACTCTGGGCTTAGGATAACAGATACGTTCTGCAGGACTCTGTGAACTCAGTTAATATTGGTGCAACTGAGCCATTCTTGGTGATGGACATGGAAGAATCCCACTCGGTGCATTTTGTACCCTTGCTATGTTTATATTATGTTGTGCTTAAAATTAAGGAGTACTGATTCATTAGGGAATGTAGTAGGCGGTAATGAGCAGGAAGTTTCCTTTCCCAAGTTTGATAACGATGGACCTTTCCGGAGTTAGTGTTGAGAACACTCCCCCTTGAAGCTATACCACTGTCTCACCAGCTGTGGTGCATTTTCCCTTTCTGTAGGATAGGGCATACCCAGGGTGGTGATAGACGAATTTGGAAAGATGGCTGAATAGTTTAATTCTCTCAGTATGGCTCTGTCTGGGTGTCCTTGACTGGTCTGTGAGTTAGTTCTTCTAATTTTGGTTCCAATTCCCAGACTTGAGTGAGGAGGACTTTGCAGAGTTGACTGGCATTGGTGTTTGCAGCGGTTAAAGTGTGATTTGATTGTGGAGGTAGGAGTTTAAGCTGAGTACAGAGAAACTTTCCACTTGGGAGAATTCTTGAGAGAGAGTACATGTCCTTGGAGCTTGGCCATTCAGGAAAGAAATTGGGAATCAATTCAACACATGGTGGAAGTGTAGAAAAGCTCTCTTTTTCAAAGTTCAAAAAGTGCTAGCTCAATTAATTTTAATTCTGGAACTGATGAATTTTCTTCTGTTAGCCAAGGGTATTGAGATGTGGAGCCAAGATGGGTGGATGGAATCAGGATATAGATCAGCCATGAATGGTGGAACAGTCTTGAGCTGGGTGACTACACCTGTTCTTAGGTTACCCACAAACGTTTTTTTTGGTGCCCAACATTTTTTTCCTCCAATCACCAGTGGGCTGAATTTTAGGATGGTTGACTGTGAGCTTGTCAGCCTTCACGGTCGTCATCCCTGAAATGGACTACAAGCATCAGGACATCAGGTACTTTTGGATCACCACAGAAATTCTGAAGTTGCGGTATGTCCCTCAGTCGACTGTGGACATTAATTGGCTACATGAGACTCGATAGGATCAAATATGGGTGGAATACCTGACCAGTCTTCTCTCCAAAAAACTTGAAAATAGAGAGGTAAGAACAAAGGGGTAAGCAATGGGAAGGCTACCCTCCAGCTTTTACATGCTTCCTCCTTTAAACATATTAGCGAGGGAGAGTAAATACCATTCCAGGGTGTGTTCTTTGCCTCTACAATGCCACTGTCCTTTCTGCTTTTTGGTCAGCATTTTTTTTTACGTCCACTGTTAAGTGTATGAATACACGTTCTCTTGTAAAATTGTACTATTTAGTTTATTTTGCCTCTCCTCATTCTCCCTTAGTACATTACTTCACCTAACTTAGGAGAATTTTTTTCAGCAGAGGGTCGTTGAAACTTGAAATACTCTATCTAGACAAACCTGGAGGAAGAAGAATGCAAAATGTTTTGGGAAAAAAATAAGTGTACAGAGAAGTTGATGAAGTGGCTCATTCAGAATGTAATACAGATGCAGCAGGTCAACTTGACTGTTCCTGTGTTCTCAATATTTTGTTGACATGTATGCACAGGACTACCACATCAGATCAATGTGCAGGAAGTCCTGTTTCACAACACAAAGGATTAATCCAGTCAGAGATCTCAACACTTTGTTGAATATCTTGCTAATGCTCAGTTTCTGGTCTCTTAGGTGAAGAGTGACTATTTGAATGAATTGTCAGTGTGAAATTCATACAAGTCAAGATGTCACCTACTTGAGAGAGTGCTGCAAAAAGATGTGTGGAAAAAGAAATGCTTTTTTTAAAAATTTTTGAACCTTAATAAATCGTTTTGTCTTGGGCTGTAACTTATGCAACTGCCCGAGTTCTGAACTGAGCATTTTGGATGTTGAATTATTTTTTACTGACAAGTGAGTACTTTTCAACGTAACCCAATGTTTCCAAAATGCCTTGGGATCTTCAAATATGCAAGTCTTCCATGCTATTGAATCAAACTGTCAATGTTTGAGAGTATTGGCTTGGCTGAGAAATGGAGAATTTTCATTGGTCAGTACTTGATATGCTTGGTTTCACATGTCTTTTCCAGGCTCCTGGAGGGCATGAATTGATTTGTGATTACTGGGAACTTGTCGGTTTAGCTCCAGCAGGGGGTGCAGACAACTTGCTGAATGAAGAATCTGATGTAGACGTGCAGCTCAACAACCGTCACATGATGCTCAGAGGAGAGAACTTGTCCAAAATCTTCAAAGTGCGCTCTGCTCTGGTGCAGTGCTTTAGGGACCACTACTTTGACAATGGCTACTTTGAAGTATGTTTTATTTTCCATTTATATCTTACATGTTTTATTTGTAATAGTTGCAAGTGTCTAAAATTACATTTAATCGTTTGAATTAAGATGCTGAAAGATAATGTGACTGTTTTGAGGGTCAGCATTTGCATGCTGAATTACTGTGAACAATTCCAGGACATAATAATGTGAGATTTACTCCTCAGTATCAGGGTTGTGAGGTTTATGTTTTGTTTATTTCCTTAATAGAATTATAGCTCAGCACAGTTTATGACATGGTCATAATTTTTTTAATTTCGATAATCCAGATAAAATGCAAGAGTCTTGAGCATTAATTTGCGAAAAATATATTGAGTTGAAACATAACCAGGCTGAAGTATTTCTTAACTTGATTTTGCTTTTACTTCTTTCCACTGCCTCTTAATTGAGGTAGGGGAAGGCTGTTCCCCTCTCAGAAACACAGTGGGGCTACAAAGTGCTTATAAATTGATGCGTGTAAACTGCGTCGCATCTATTAAGCTTTTCAGTTGATAGTTACTCAGTTTGTGAATCTATTCTGAAGGTGACTGTGTATGAAAGCTCCATATCCCATCATCTGGATTGTTATGTTCCTCCACCAGTTGTGCTTTGTTCAAACGAGAATGTTACAAAGAATGCTCTCTCTGGATTTGGCTGTCGTTACAAACCTTGCAGAAGTGAATGAGTGCTGGATTGTTCTAATCTAATGTGCATTTCACATGGTTTGTGATGAGAGTTGACCACATATGACCAGTATAAGCAGGCACAGTGAACTAGCATGAGAGAGGGGCAGTTCTTTTTACTTTGCTAATGTGATGACGATTTTGTGAAATTCACATCTCTCTGTCACAGGTCACCCCACCTACCCTGGTCCAAACACAGGTTGAAGGAGGTTCTACACTATTTAAGTTGAACTATTTTGGTGAAGAGGCATTCCTGACACAGTCTTCTCAACTATATCTGGAAACTTGCATCCCGTCCCTTGGAGATGTTTTCTGTGTTGCTCAGTCCTACCGTGCTGAGCAGTCTCGGACACGCAGACATCTTGCAGAGTCAGTACTGTTTCTTTCATACGTTAGCTAACTTACTGGGACTACCACTTATATCCCACAGTCTCTGGTTTAGAATAAAGCACATTCAAATGATGCAAGTATAATTTATGTAAAGGTGGAGTCAGAAACTAACTCCATACATTTCTCTAAAGACACTGTCAATAGTAAGGCTCTGCATTTGACAAATCTCCAGCGTTAGTGTTGTACCTTTACACTAGATAATGTATTCAATTAAATAGCTTGAAAAAAAATAGATGTTGGGTTTTTATAATTATTATTGTTGGATACCAATCATATTATTCCCATGGTCTTTACCATTTTCTGTGAATGCTGAATTACAGTTAACATTGCAAAAGCAACTTAGATTCCTAGGTGCCATGCCTGGCTGAATTGAACCTCGAATTCAAGGGCATTTATTCTGAATCACCTTGATGTTTGGCACAAAGCTGTGGTGAGATACCATAAAACAACGCTCACTTAAATTTGGATGAACACAGCAGGCCAAGCAGCATCA